ACATATTTTATATATTTAGAAATTAAATATAATTACGTTTCTTTATTAATACTTTTGTATAAAAGTAAATAATTATTTTCTCATATATTTTATGGTTTTGTTTTAAAATAAAAAGTAATTAATTATAAATTTTAAAACAATTAATAATAAAAAATTATTTAATGTAAACTTGGTACTTAACATATTTTTAAGCTTTAATTATATTATGATTATTTAGTGTATATGCAGAAGAATGCTGCAGAGAAACTGTGTAGTGATATCAATGAGATATTAGAAATTGGATTTTATTCGACTATAATAATTGAGATAATTATTATTCAAAATATACATCAATTAAAGGTAATGACAAACATTATAAATATAGTTTTTATTGATATTTTCAATAATTTTACTTACATATTGCAGAAACAACTAAGTCTGATGAGCAATAAGGTAACTGATGGCATTTTTGTAATCGGTCCACAATCCGAAAAGCAAAACATGATTACAATTATTAACCAACTTAAGAATGAAGAAAATGGGATTGTACAATTATTAGCAAAAATACCGTCACTTTTATATCTTCACTATACTGAGTATAAATTTATTATTATTATTTTGTATAAAACTGAAAATATTAACTTATATTATTTTAAAAGCTATGATAACTGTTAATACATTATACATTAACATATTGTACATTAATGTGTTCTTAGATATCTATATTGTTCTTGGCAAAATAAAAAATTAGTTTTTTGCTTCTCTGCTGACGAACAAACGATAATGACAATGATAGAAGAAGCTGCAGACACATTTATACTTGTAATATATTTATTACAAAATATACTCACCGTTTATGATATTCAAGTACAAGAGGTAACATATTTTTTACATTATAGAAATAATGAGATACCAATTTTATAAAGTTACACGTGCAATTAAACTTATTTACAGAATGAAATCCAGACTTCATACAAATATCGTGAAAAATCTTCTCCTTCACATGTTTCTTCATTGAATTCAATATCTCATACAGACTTACAAGTAAATTATTTTTTTATATATTAAAGTCATAATTTTACAAGTTTATATATGCAATTAAAGTTTTTTCTACAGACAGACATAGACATATACGATGTAGATGCACCTAAAACCCAACAAATATGTCTACCTAAAGTTTCTGTAGACGAAGCATTGAGAATAATGAACAAAATAATAGGGCAGAATATGGAAAAAAGGGATTCTGAAAATGTAGATATAAAAGACGCCTGTGGCAGAGTATTGTTTAAAACCGTACGTAGCGACTATAATGTACCACCGTTTTCAATTGCCACTAAACACGGATACGCAGTAGTAGCAAGTAGTGAAACAAAAAAAAGGAAAGTGGTGAAAACTCAAGTAAGTTCCAAAACTAAAAAATGCTGGCATGCAACGAGCTAAAAGTGTAAAATGAAAATTTTTTTAGTCAAATGGAATCATTCCGGCTGTACTTGAACCTGACACATGTGTATGGGTGAATACAGGAGCTTCTATTCCTTATGGTAAACAATTAATATTTGTAAATTACATTGATTTACTTATAATAACAAATTTATTGTTATTTCCATCTAATTGCAGGAGCAACAGCGGTTGTACCAGCAAAAAATACAATAAAATGTGATAACGAGGAAAATAATATTGATATAATATTACATTCATCAACATATGGACAAAACATCCAGTATAAAGCTTAATATTATTTTATACAGGGTGTTTCATAATGTTGGGGCCAACGCTTGTGTGCGAATACAGCGCGGTAAACTAAACAGAAAAGTCCGTTTTGCAATTTTCGCGACAATAATTGAGATATTAATTAAAAAGGATTGACAAATAATAGCGCGTTGCGCACGAGCATTAGAACATTATCAAACACCCTGTATGTACTTTAATATAAATTTTATTCTTTGCTAAAATAATTTTATTTATTTATTTCAAATAAGTTTTATTTAAAGTAAATTTCTTTTAAAGATCTGCAGGCAGCGATATGGTACAACGCCAAATAATTGTAGATGCCTATACACGTATGGGGCCAATAGAACTGGGACATCTGGCAGCTTGTGGTTGCAAAGAAGTTACAGTAGTTAAACAGTTGTCTATCGGTGTATTGTCCATTGGCGATAAATTACAAGAACCTGGACAACCTTTAAAACCAGGATATTCCTATGATAGCAATCAAACAATCCTAATCTCAACGCTGAAAGACAATAGTTTTAAGTCTTTGGATTTTGGAATTGTGATTAACAAGTAAGTACTTAATAATTGTTATAAAACTTATGATGATACTTCATACGCATCCTTCTATATTGTTTTATTTAATATCATAATTTAAATCTAAATTTTATATTTATGTTTAACATTTAAATAATTTTTAAATAACAATCCTAGTACTTGACAAATAATAATTAATATTTATTTATTCAATGCAGACGGTCGTCTATAATACACAAAATAAAAACAGCTTTAAATGAAGCAGATTTACTTGTGACAACTGGCTCTTCAAATGATAAAGATCATTTAAAATACATTTTAAAAAATTACTTTAAAGCCACATTGTATTTTGGTATTTTTCTTGTTCTTATTAGTCTTCTTTTTCGTTATCGTAATATCAATACTAAAAAAATACATATTTTTTAATTTATTGTATGCATTTTTTAGGAAATATTAACATAAAACCAGGAAAGTCAACGGCATTTGCAACATGCACCTTCAATAACAAAATCAAGTATATTTTATGCTTGCCACGAAATCCAGCATCCGTTCTCGTCACCGCGCATTTATTCCTTTTACCCCTTGTTAACTGGTTGCACTTCAACATTAACGGAGAACGTTCCATAGTGATGGCTAAAGTAAAAGTTTTCTTATATCAAAATTTAAAAAAATGAGAAATACGCATGTATATTATAATGTTGTTATAACGTTGCAGATAGAACAAAAATTGCCTTTGCATTTACGTCCAAGATACGTGTGGGCGACTTTATCGTCGTCAGAGAAAGACAATTTTGCAAAAGTTATCTGCAAAAGAAATGCTAACAATAATATGCTATTTAGCAGCGAAGGCGCTAATGCACTTTTAAGACTACCGCCGGAAACACCGGAAACAAAGACACTGGAAGCTCCATCATTGGTACCAGCAATACTTATCAAATTTCCCAATTTATCATAAAAAATATATATTTTATTTAATTATAAATTGTTTAATACTTTTAAATGAAATAATCACTTTAAATGGAATAATTTTTAAGTGGTAGTGAACAAAGAAAAGATATACCACGATTAATAGAAAAAAAACGGTTTATATAAAATATTGGTTTTATATAAAATTGGAATGCGATTTTTTATAGCAAATGTTTTAACGCAAAATTTTTATATAAGAAAAATAATTTATGCAAATTATTGATGTATAAAATACTGACGTATAAATTTTGATGTATAAAAATATTTAAGTGTGTAATTTTTAAAATCAAAATTTATGAAAAATACAGTTTAAACTCAGAAATAAGTATATTTTTTTCATATTATTATATAACATCAAAATATTTTTAAAAAATTAATTATTTAAAACAATTTAAATAATTTGTTCTTTAATATTTTTGTACTTTTGCTAACAAAAACCGGTTTCCAAAATTTTCCAAAGAAGTTACGTTTTTGTCACTTTTTCTATTAATCCTGAGTATAACGTACTTTTTATTATTCTACACTATACGCATACGTATTGTAGCAATTTCTATTTGTATATCATTCAAGCATTAAGTATTGTTTTTTTTAATATTTAACATATATTTGAATATTTAGTGAATGTTCACAAAATACAATAATTTAATACATTACAACTAATAATGAAACTTATATGACAAATGTTTTAATTTTGTAAACATTATTTTTCTTATAAATAATTATTATTATTATTACATGCGAGTTTTGCATAGCGTATACACATTCAACTGATAAATTTATTATCTTTTTTAATAAGAACCGTTATGGCAAAAGCATTGTAAGATTAATTTTTAATAAAACTATTCGTAAAAAAAACTAAAAGTATTATAGCACATTATATGTTTAAAACAAAATAGACTCTAACGACAACAATCTTATATCAAAAATTTATTAAAAGAATGTTAATAACTGAAGGAATGTTAATAACTTCTTCTTGAATTATTTTCTACATATTCATCTTCTAACTGCGTATTGTTTAAATCAAAATTATAATTAGTAACATAACTTTCTATAAGTAATTATCGATTAATTAAATGACGTTAAATATAATGTCGTTAAATATAAGATATTTAAAAGATTTAGCAAGACTTTCAATAAAGTATTTAAAATATTTAATATTCATAATTATTAGAAATTTTGTAGAGTCTCTTATCAAATCAGTGAGAAATATATAATACTTTCTATTTATTTATTTTTTTTAATCTATCTATTTTCTTTTTATTTATATATGCGTAATTATAAAACCATATCTTCTGAATTTTATCGTTGATTATTTGATCAGCAATTCTCTCATTCTTATTATTATTAAAAGTTGCCTTATCCTTGGCAGCTGAGATTTAAATACTTTTTATTTTTTATATAATTACTTAATATATAAAAATAATATAGAGAGATTATCTATAAATAAAAATAAATAATAAATAAAACAATAGTAATACAACTTACTTTTCAAACATTTCATAATATTTGAATGTTTAAATTCTAATATATTACTAGTTGATCCTGCGTTCGCAAACAGTTCCAGAACGACATTTCATACAAAAATATTTGCACAATACTTTATTTATTGGTTCTAGCATTTTCATGACTGTCTTTTCAGATAATTCAAATTTATTCATATCCTCTTCAAATTGACACGTCTATAAAACATTTCTTATATAAATTATATATTGTAATATTAAAATTATTAAAAAGGATAATTAACAAATGCATACGAACACTTGTCGCGCTTTTATGTTATTTATTATAGTGGTCACAATTAAATGGACAAAAAAAGTATATTTTTGAGAAACAAATTAGTGCAACACTCTATAGACAAGACTTCCTTATTACTTGTTCGTCGTTTTAACTCGTTCTTCAGAAAAAGCAATTTTATTTTAGTCCCAAGATAAGCAGAAAATTCCAGGTAATTTACACAAAATCGCAAAATTATATGATTAGTTTTGTCAATTCAACTGAAAGACTATTTCTCACTTGCACATTTCTCTTTTGCAACTTAAATCGTGATTTTTAGAATAAAAGTATTGTGAGAATTTTCATAGGAATTCATATAATCCACTTATTACAGAAAGTTATAAGCAAAAATTTTTTATAAAATAATTAAAATACAGATACACTTACCTAAACATCGAGATAACATCCTTTTTCCATTATGGTCATAATTAACGGTTTTTACTGTTGAAAAAACTCTTTATTGCAGTGAAACCTCACAAACCAAGGTACTATATTGTAAGATTCCACGATTAATAGAAAATTAATGTCTAAATTCTAAATTAATGTCTGTAAGATCCCGCTTCTGTAAAATAATGTTAGATCAAGAATGTTTGAGGCGTTATTTCTACCACATTTTGTTATATGCGTGAAATATTTGAATCTTCCAAAATTCAAACATATACATATACACCTACAAATAGAAACATTACTTTTTATACAAAAATTCAATTTATGACGTTTCACTAGAACATAAATTGGTATACATGTTATACATGTTTTTAATATTTTTTTCTATTTACAGATATTTTTCGTATGTAGAATTTAATATCGTGTAGTCTTAATCTTTTTTTCTGTATGTATATAATTATTGTTATCATTTTAAGTCCTCTTGCTTGCCTTCAAATGTTTCAATTTCTGCATATGGATTTTTAATTGTTCCTTGTATGACTCGTTGTATGTCGCTCTAGCACCGTGCAGTCTCTCGTTATGCTTGTTCAATTTGAGCTGCAGCGCTTATGATTACGATATAATTACGAGCTTCTTTAAGAAATGTTTTCAAGGAGTCTCGCTGCGCCTGCGCTTTTTCTATAGTTCTTCCGGTTTTGACTTCTAGAAAAAAAATATTTCTGTTAAAATACAAAAAATTCTAATTAAAAATGATAAATTACTACCATCATCTGTAATTAGCATTATCAGTATTGTTCATTCGAGTTTTCAGACTATTAACAACTTTGTTTAATTGTTGTATTTCGTCTGTGCATCGATCACAAAATTTGATCGCCAATCATATCATCGTATAGCAATAACATTTCCTCAGTCTTTGCCTTTGATGTTTCCAGACTTTTAGCGACTGTACTTTTTGACTGCACTATATTATTTTTTATTTCCTCTATGTTCTTCCTAATTGAAAAAAAAAATCAGAAATATATTAAAACTCTAACAAATTATAAATAAGATAGAATATAAAGTGTAAAAAACATATTAAGTCCTTTCAATTTTTTTAAGTTATGTTTTTCATACTGAACGATCTTTTCAACAATAGGTTTCAACTGCAGCATATTGTCATATTTTTCCTGCTGCGCCTTTAATTTCTCCTCGCACTTCTTTAAATGATCCAATTTATTACGGATTATATCGGTTTGCATTTCCTTTTTTAAATCAGCAACTCTCTTTTTGCTCCTAAAGTTTCTGTGGCATAACGGCCAGCAGGAATCATTTACGGATAGTTTTTCAATGTATTCTTTACAGGCTGCAGCTTGATTGTAAGCATAAACGCCTCTCTTGTCCTGAAGATTCTTTATCATCCTTGACTGCATCAACAAAGACTGGTTGAAATCTTTGTAGATACACATTGTAGATATCTAGATATATTATAAGATGTCACGGGTCAAGAAATCGAAAGGAGGGAGTTGCTAAACAATACGTTGACATAGACGTTGCGCAAAATTAAAGAAGCGGTAGAAGCTTTGAAAGAACAATACAAGAAATTATTCGAAAAGTTGAAAAATATGAATTATGATTAGATGACGAGTGGGATTAATTAGAAAATAAGAAGCAGATGTTGCTTTGTCAAGTAAGTAATATATTTATATTTTATGATTTATTTAATTTATATTAATATATTGACTAATTAGAAATTGTTTAATTGTAATTTTAGAAAAACGTAGCACTGGGAAATTAGGAAGAATTGGAAAGAATAACAAAACAATACACGCGGGAGTTGCGAAAAGAAGAATACCGATTAACCCGTCAAAATTACATCAACAAATGCATTGAATTAGAAGTAAAATCATGTACAAAATAATATATATTTTTATCACTTGTATTATGCAATGATCAAACATGTAATTTCGGATATTTTTCTTGCATTAGGTTCAAGAAAAAACTAGCCGATCTGAAGCACCAGAGTAAAGAATTGGACGCAGCGATGATTGATTGCTACAAGGAGCGCATGTCAACTGTCAACAAGATAATAAAGAAATTGTAGAAGCAAGTTTACAACCTGCATGGAAATCGGCATGGAATATACAAAGGGTGTAGGCAGCAATAAAAAAAGCTACAATTACATGCTGATTCAAACTAAGCACGGCTGCAAAATGGACATGAAAGGACGTTGCAGCGCTACGTACAGAAGGTAATTAGTGTATGCGTCGAATAATTAACACTCATAATCTGAAACACATTATGTTTTTACACAAAACTCGCGATTTTTTATAAGTGCTGGCGTCAATAATTTATAAGACTTGCCTTGGCAAAAACATTTTGCAAGGATTGTGATATTTTCACATTAGACGAACCAACGACGAATTTGGACGAAGAATATGCGAACAGCTTAACAGATACACTAACTACACTGTTATTTTTATCTTTGATGTCAAATTGTATTTAAGCAATTATAAATAATATTAAAAATAATAGATGTATCAGGCTCTGATGATTGTTAAAATCAATAAATTTAAAAGGAGCGTAAAGAGCCAACAGCCAGATATTCGTGCGAAGGTTATCGTGTATTAATATATAATATTAATATAAAATAATATTAATATTATGCTGACAATGTTGCAGAGTGGTTGAACTGCAATCGAGACACCAAAAGAATTTCCAGTTGATTGTAATCAGCTATGATGAAAAGTTCCTACGGAAGCTTGCCAACTTGAGTAATCATAAGAAATCCTATAAACTTTATCGCAAAAACAAGTACGTTATTTAAAAATATGGTTTTTTATATCACATTAGAATTATAGGTATAACGAGTTAATTATTTTTTACAGCGAAATGACCGCGGTGAAAATTTTTTATTTTAATGAACGAATTCTCTGGTTCATCACATTAGGAGTGGAGACGAATCCGATGAAAAGAACAGCGTCCTAATCAGTTACGAGAGTATACTTATCAGTTCGTTTATAAATGTATCAAATAGGAAAAGACACCATTGGAATGATTTTAACGAAAAGGATAAGCAACCAACTAAAAAGAGATATCGTTTGGAGTAATCTAAAGTATACATACGTTCCATTTTTTTAACCAAATATTTTTTCATATAATATGCATTATTTATTATTCTGTTTTCTTTTAAGATATATATGTATATTTTTTTGTCTTTATATTATGTTCTTGTTCATTACAGTGTGTATTCGTAATATGTTGATATTTATTTAGACGAAGAAATAAACAGATGAAAGATGTAACACTTCTAAAAATATTATATATGTAATAAGCAAACAAATTATTTTTTTACTCTTGCAGAAATGTAGATGTTGATTCTAATAAATTTATTTTGAAATTTATAATATCGAATTATGCACATTATTATTAAAAATTATATTTTATATTAGTATTCTGTTTAAAAAAAAAAAAGTCGGCCGCGGGCGAGAGAGCATTCCGGTATTGTCTCTCTTTCCGACGAGAGTCTCGATGATCGCTATAATTAACGAGTTATCGCGAATCGAACGCCTGGAGGAAACCGGCATGTTTTTACTCAAAAGAAACTAATGATAAATGTTTTGTAAAATTTACTTTTAATAAAATCAATTATAAGTCTAATAAACCGATAAATTTTCAGCACATTTTACATTTAAAACTAAATTAATCAAAATCTCGTATTAAGAATGCTTTAAAACGAAAAATAATGTAAACATTCTTGGATGTAAACACTCGAAGCGCCAAGACGTTTCTTATGTACTTCACAGACTTGGCAGTGAATCGAGTTGGAGAGAACGAACAGTTGAGATCACACATTCTAAACGTTACAAGTTCTGCAGTAATTATTAGAAGATAGCAAGATAAGTACATCAGAAAACTGAAATGGATAAAATGGATAAAATAAATAGTATAAAAATCAGTCCTATAGCTGGTATGTATAGTAACACATTGTTGTGTAAAATATATTATGTACACTAAAATATGTATAGTAAAATAATTTACATTAATAACTATAGTACTTACGTATTAATTATTAATAAAATTAAAAATACTTGTGTAAATAATAGATTATTAAAATATTAGAATTTATTATTATATAAAATAAAATATTTTAGTCGTGTACCCAGGTTCGGATGTACGATTTTGTGGTCCCTAAGCTATAATCTTAAGGAGGCTCTCTCTTATTAACAAAAAATACATTTTTTTAAATCTTTTCTATATTAAAGAAGCCCCCTTCTAATGTGAGGCCCTTAAGCTGTAGCTTATCTAGCTTATGTGTAGATCCGGCACTGCGTGTACCTTATATATCTGAAAGTTTACTATTATTACATATCTTATATTTTTATTCATTAATATTTTTACAATATAAAACTATAGACTATTTTTTTATATATTTTATAATTTTGTTGTAAAGATAAAAAACAGTAATATGTATAAAAATATTGAAACAAGAAATAATCAAAAATTATTTTACATAATCATAATACTGTACATACCTTTAAGCATTATTTTTATTATATTATTTAGTATGTACAACCGAAGAAATTGAATTATTTGAGGATTTGATGACAGAATTTCAAAGTAATATATTTAGTAAATTTAACATCAAAACAAGTAACTTTGAAATTAGACAGAGTGCAAGTGAACTACAGGTAACCACAAATATTTAATTTTTTTTTCTTAACATTTAATTAATTTATTTTTATAATACAGAAACTAATTGGTGAATTGTCCAATTCATCATCGATTGATATCATTTTTGTAATTAATCTACTCCTCCCCGAAAAAAGCATAATTAACGAAATTGACAAGATCAGCAATGCAGAAAATGAAATTATAAAAGAGTTTACAAAAATACCACTACTTCTGAAGCCTGATTATTCTAGGTAAAAATTTTTGCTATTGTTACTGTGCATAATTCATAAAATTAAAAATAGTTTAATAAATTACTTAAAGCTCTAACGCTCTAACATAAATTAGAATGAAATAAAAAATGGCACTGTTTCTGATACTTATAAGTCTTTGAACAAATACAATTGAATAAACGTTTCAACCAAGCTTTTGTGTCGTTTCTCATTCTTTTATCATGATAAAAATAATAATTTATTACTGCTTTATAAATTAATATACTATGTATTATTGTATTCGTAGGATTCTATATTGCTCATGCAAAAAAAATTCATTAATTTTTTGCATGACTGGCGACAAAGAAAACATAATGGACATTGTACAAAAAACTGCAACTACAATGTTACTCGCCGCATATTTGCTACAACAGGTGTCCAAAAAATGTAACATTATAACATCAATTACTCATCCACATAAAGTAAAGTATAACATTAAAACCAATAAGATGATAACTTCATATTATTATACATGCAATTAAACTTATTCACACAGTTAGAAGACATGACAATCTCACGCAAACGTCTACTCTCTACTGAAAAAGAAGAATCTGCTAAAATATTACGAGTAAAATACTTTTTAAAGCATGATTTTCTTTTAAAAATTATAATTTAACAAGATTTCACGGAGTGTCTCAGAAATTTTGCAATTTTCGCAATAATTATTAAGGTAATTAAAAAGAATTAGCAAAGGAGAACGCGTTCTCGCGTTCCATAGGATGTACGACGTGCGATTTAGGTGTAACAGTGACGAATGTCGTACGGTAACGATAAGTTTATCGCTCGGCGAGGACAGAAATAATACGTAAAAAGCGAGCAGAAGCTTTATTCTTCGTAGAGCACACATCTCACCACGTAAATCGCCCACTCATTCTCCAAACCTTTTTACTTAATTTCTCAATAATTATTGCAAATATTGCAAAATGGTAAAAAACTTTTCTATTTAGTTCACTCTTTTCTACCCACTCAGCGTTTACACGATCATTTTAAGACACTCTGTATATGTAATTAAAATTTTTTATATAGACAGATGATACGACAGATGACAAGATCATACATGAACCTAAAAAAGCAAATCCACAATTGAGTGAAAAAGAGGCATTAATACTAATAAAAGACGCAGTAATTCATGATCAAGGCATAGAAACTGAAGAAGTGATAATAAAAGACGCTTTTGGCAGAATATTGGTTGAAACAGCAAAATATCGCAGTAGTGTCTCACCATTTACAGCTGCCACTAAATGTGGATGTGCGGTAACAGAAGATAAGGAAGCAAATGAAAAGATAGACGTGGATGAGGTGGATGCAATACCAATACTGGTAAGCTGCAGTAATGCTTATATGTAACGAGTTAGAAATATAAAAACAAAACTTTTTCAGTCAAACGAAGTCACTCAGATTAAAAATGGCACGGATAAATGGGTAAATAAAGGAGAATGTGTTTCTAATGGTGCGCAATTAATACTTGCAAATTATATTAATTTGTTTGTAATGACGAATTAACTAATGCTTCTATTTTAAAATGCAGAAACAATTGCAGTTATACCAGCAGAGAGGGATAATACGGGGATTAAAACACCGTCACATGCAATAGAACATGGGCAAAATATCAAGTAACATAATTCTTTCATAGATTTTTCAATATAAGATATATTTATTACCGAAATTACCGCTTTTACTTATTTAATTGTTTTTATCTTTTATCTTTTAAAGATTATTAGGTAGCGATATCGAAGAAAACAAAATAATTGTAAATGCACATAAACGTATTGGTCCAACAGAAATAGCACTTCTGACAGCGTGTGGTTACGACAAAGTGACAGTTTTTAAAAAATTATCCATTGGTATATTAACCATTGGAAATAAGTTACAGGAACCTGGAGAATTTTTAAAACATAAACATTTATATGATAATAATCGAGCAATTCTAAGCTCACTATTAAAAGAAAATTGTTTTGATTTTGTTAATCCTTTGGATTTGGGAATTGTAACTAAAAAGTACGTACAACAAAATTTATTATCATTTTTCATACGCACACTACTATGACATTACAGTAAATATTTTACGTAAAATTTAATTTTTATTTTGTTTATACTTAATGTTTAAATAATTAATATTCTAATTATTTTATAAATGCCTAATCAACTTTGTTTATTGCTGCTCACAGTGCGGACCTTATAACACAAAAAATCACAGAAGCTCTAGAAAATGTAGATTTACTTGTGACAACAGGCTGTTCCAATAATAAAAACTGCTTGATAGGCATTTTAAAGATACACTTTAAAGCCACATTGTACTTTGGTATTTTCTTCTTATTATTAATTTTCTTATTTTTTATTGTAATATCAATGCTGTAAAAAATACATGTTATTTGATATATTGTATGCATTTTTAGAAAATGTCAACATAACGCCAGGAAAATCAGTAGTATTTGCATCGAGCAAATTTGAAAACAAAAACAAGTACATTTTATGCTTGCCGGCAAATCCAATGTCCGTTTTTGTTACCACGCATTTATTTCTTTTACCCCTTATTAAATGTATACACCGCATCCCTAATGTGCAACCCACCATAATACAGGCTGAAGTAAGGACTGTTCTTACTTATCGCGACTTAAAAAGATGTGCAATGTATATGCGTATTTTAACAATATTATAATGTTGCAGATAAAACAAAAATTGCTTTTGCATTCACGTCCACGATACGTGTTCGCGACTATATCGTGGTCCGACAAATCAGATATCGCAACAGTTACTTGCAAAGAAGAAAATTCTATAAGTAAGAAGCTTTTTGACATGAAAGGTGCTAATGCACTCTTACAACTAACGCCAAAAACAACGGAGACAAATAAACTGTCAACTTCAGCATTCGTACAGGTAATGCTCATCAAATTTCCTGCTACAGAAGTACCGATTATGGAATAGTATTTTTTGTATCAGAAACAAATGAAGCACTAATGCAGACGCTTTGATATTAATTATACACCTTCGATTTAAAAACAAAAACAAAATACGACTTGAATGAAATAATTTTTAAAAAATTGTACAAAGTGTACAAAGTGAGTATACCATGACTGATGCAAAATATTTGTTTAGTTCGTACAAAAATAGAAAGTAAACTTTTATAGCAAAAGTACTGAAGAATAAAGTTAAAATAATTTGTCCAGTTATTTTAACTTTACTGCTTTATTTAAAAAATTAAACATTTTTAAAAATAGTTAAAAACCTACACTTAAGAAGAGCGATTTAAATTAAAAAATGAAAAGTTTTTATACATTTTTATTTTTTAATTTAATATCGAAACAAACTCTTTTTAAAGAATTGATTATTTAAAATAACATTATTATATAATGTTATATTATATAATATAACATTATTATATAAATTATTTAAAACAACAAATAATTAATGGTTTAATATTTTCTTACTTTTGCTAACAAAAATCAGTTTTCAAAATAATTCCAAAGATAATATTTGCGTCTCATTTTTTATCAATTCTAAATGTAACATGCTTTTCATAGTTTTATATTACATGCATAATTTAGCAAAAATTTTGATTTGTATATTGTCAAGCATATTAATATTTTAACAATATTTGATATGTTATAATACTTGACTATTATAATAAAACATATAATACTTGACTATTTTGTAAATGTTTAAAAAGTATAATAATTTAGTACATTACTAATAATAAAACTTAATTAACAAATACTTTAATTTTGTAATCAATATATCTTTATAAATAATTGTCATGCGAGTTTTACTATAATTCTGCACAACACGTACACATTCAACAGACAAAAAGTTATTATCTCTTTTAATAAGAAACACTATTCTAAGAGCATTGCAAAATCAACTCGTAATAAAACTGATTATTTGTGAAATAAAAACTAAAATTCTATAGTACATTATGTGTTTAAAGCAAAATAGTGAAGTTTTGTCTCTACCGACAAAAATATCACATAACAAAGACTCTAAAAAAAAAAGAATGAAAATAATAATTTCAAAACATTTTTATTAATTATCTATCTTTATATTTTTAGAACAAAATTATTAAAAGTTTTATTCGTATCACTAACAAGATACTATTTCAACACAAGAACAAATAGACCTAAAACCTAACGCTCACCGCAATAATTTCAAACACTCTATACAAAAAAAAATTTAAAACCTCTTACAAAACAAAATTTATTTCATTAAAGATCTTAAGTCATTTTATTGTTGTTAAATTTTTGTGAACAAGTTTAATTATTTATTATATTACTTTCTGATTAATATTTGTTTCCTTGCGAATTTCAATCATTTTCTGCTGCCGATTAATAATCATATTTTTTGTTAAAATATTTTGTTATTACTATAACTCCATCACATATATCTTTGACAAATATATTTGTTATTTTTTAGTAAAAAAAACTTGTAACAAATGCTTTGCAAAATTTGCTCCGCACAATATCAATCCATTAATTGTGAGCAGATAAATTTTAACATATTTTATGTTTAAAGCAAAATCGATCTCACGTGCAAAACACTTTAAAAAAAAAAAAATGTAAACATTTCTCTCTTGAAGCATTAAGACCAACAGGTTCAACCACTATTCACTATAAATCAAGTCGCCGAGTCTAATAGATAGAATCAAACATACGTTCTTAACGATAAAAGTTCTGCAATAATTATTAGCAGATAGCAAAAGATTTGTAATAGAGTACTAAAATGGATCCGATAAGAATATCAGTTCTCGTTGGTATGTACACATTAAAACGCACTGTTGTGTGAAATGTATTACATATATGCACTAAAATATATAGTAAACATTTATCTATTAATTATTAATTAAATATAAAAATTATTGTTCCAATAACAGATTAAAAAATTAGCATTTACACTTATATGGAATAAAATATTTTAGTCATATATGCTACATATTTCAAAGTTGAATATCATTATATATCTTTTCTAATATTTTTAATTATTAATATTATTACAATAAAAAATAAATAATTACGTTTTTATATATTTCATAATTCTGTTATAAAATTATAAAAAGCAACTATTTCTAAATATTAAAACAAGAAGTAATAAAAATCATTTAATGAAAACTTGATATTTAATATACCTTTTAAACTTTACTTTTATTATAATTAATTAGTATGTAGGGAGAAAAGTTCGGATGAAGTTACTATTTGGAGAGAGGAGTTACAAAAGATAATAGATAATACTTTGCCTACACCATTGCAGCAAATTGATGTATCTTACACATTATTTGAACAAAATCTAGACGAACTGGAGGTGACTATGAATGTTTTAAACATCTTTTTCTCTTCATATCGTAATTAATTTTGTTTATATAACGCAGGAACAAATAATTGCCATAGCCGATTCAAATACAGCTGATATCATTCTTATACTTGATCTAGCCTCAAAGCAATTCGTTATAACTGAAATAATTGATAAGATCGCAGATACAGAAGATACAATCGGAAAAGTGTTTGCGGAAATACCAACATTTCTAAAAGCAAAAATCAAGTAAAAATTTATTATTATTATTTTCTATAAAAAAGTTTTCGTAATAAAAATTCTTTGTAATTGATTTTCATAATAAAATTAAATATATCGTTATCTTAGTAAGAGTTATATTAATTATAAATTAATATATTATATATTAATATGTTCTTAGATCTCTAAAGTTTGGATGCCGAAATAATAAATTAATTTTTTTCAAGACTGCCAATAAATCAGGAATATTAAAAATTATAAGGGCAATTGCAGATACAATAGTACTTGCCGCACATTTGCTACGAACTGTGGTGCGCACCATTGTTAATCGTCCAGAAAGGCCATTCGTCCATGTTAATCGTCCAGAAGTGGTAAAGTGTTTTTAACATTAGAAAAATAAGATATTAATTTCATAGTATTGTACATGCAATTAATCTTATGCATTCAGGGAGAAGACAAGATCTTGTGCACACAACATAGCAGGTCATCCTCTCAAATGGAAATTACGGAACTTTCTACTTCATTTAACTTATCTGTAATGTTGTAAAATTGTAAAATAAAATAATGATTTAACAAGATTTTACATTTTATTAATTTTTTCTGTAGGTAAACGAAAATATATCTACAAACCAAGAGACATGTCAATCTACAACTTCTGTAGAAGAAGCATTGGAAATTATTGAGTCAACAGTAAATTCAGATGTTATTATCGAAATGGAAATAGAAATGATACACATAAGAGACGCCTTTGGTAGAATATTGTGTCATGCAATAAATTGCTGTAGTAATGTGCCACCGTTTTTAACTGCCACTAAACGGGGACATGCGGTAATAGCAAATCGGGAAATAATAAATGAAACAGAAATGAAGACGAATAAGGTAAGCTGTAATACTAATGCTTATGTGCAACTAGCTAGTAATGTAAAACAAAACTTTTTCAGTCAAACAAATTTAGTTCGTTTATACTTGACTCTGACACGAGTGCATTTGTAAATAAGGGAGAATGTCTTCCTTTAGGTACGTAATTAATTCTTGCCAATTATATTAATTTATAATGACAAAATAACTATTGCTGTTCCGTTTTTAAATGTAGGAACAACTGCTGTTATACCAGCACAAAATGTAATAAGTTTTTATGAAGCGGAGAAGCTAATACATACAACGTCACATACAGTAAAATATTTGGAAAATACTAGGTAAAAAAATTAATACTTTTTTATTATATATTTCTCAACATAAACTATTTATTACGAGAATATTTCAATTTATTCTTTCGTTTATTTCATGTAAAGATCACCAGGTAGCGATATCAAAAAAGGCGATGAAATTATAGAAGCATATACACATATTGGTTTAACGGAAATAAACCTTCTGACAGCGTGTGGTTGCAATAAAATAACAGTTTTTAAAAAATTGTCCATTGGTGTATTGACTATTGGAAATAAGTTACAGGAATCTGGACAATCTTTGCAATTAGAACATTCATATGATATTAATCGAGCAATTCTAATCTCACTATTAAAAGAAAATTGTTTTAAATTTCATTGTTTCGATTTTGGAATTACAAGTAAAAAGTAAGTGCAACAAAATTTTTTGTAATTCTTCATACGCACTCTACTACAATGATACAGTAAATATTTTAGTTTAAATTTAATTTTTATGTTTTTGTTGCTATTCACTGTTTGAATAATATTCTGATTATTTCATAAATGCCTAATCAACTTTGTTTATTGCTGCTCACAGTACGAAACTTATAACACAAAAGATCACAAAAGCTCTAGAAGATGTAGATTTACTTGTGACAACTGGCTGTTCCAGTGATAAAGACTGTTTGAAGACTATTTTAAAGGACCACTTTGAAGCCACGTTGCATTTTGGTATTTTCTCCCTCTTATTAATGTTTTGCTTTTCTTTTCTGTTACCATATCAATGCTGAAGAAAATATATATTATTTGGTGTATTATACGTATTTTTGTAGAAAATGTTAATATGAAACCAGGAAAATCAACGGCATTTGCATCGTGCTACTTCAAAGACAAAGCCAAGTTTATCTTATGCTTGCCAGAAAATCCAACATCTGTTCTCCTGACTGCATATTTATTTCTTTGGCCTCTTGTTAACTCGCTGCATTTCAACGTCGGCAAAAAGTATCTTAGAATGACAGTTAAAGTAAATTTTTTTTATAATAAATTACAGAATTAAAAAAAATGCGAAAAACGCATGTATGCTATAATGTCGTTGTAACATTGCAGTTGGAACAAAAATTACTTTTGCATCCTCGTCCAAGATACGTATGGGCGACTTTATCATGGCGCGAAAAAGGAATAAAACCAACAGTAAAAGTTACATACAAAGAAGAAAATTCTATCAGTAACAAGCTATCTGACATTGATGATGCTAATGCACTCTTAGTGCTGCCGGCGAAAACATCAGAGAGAAGTATATTGCAGGCTGCATCGTTTGTAGAAGCAATACTCATTAAATTTCCTATTTCCTGAAAAAAAATGACGAACTGATTAACATCAGCAAAGGTTGAAATATCAATGCGTATAATTTAACATTAATTATATATTTTTTATTATTTCACTTTTTATTATTAATGTTTAAAAGTAATTAAAAAAAAAGTTTACAGGACAAAATGTATCATGATTAGTGAAAAATATTTTTATTTTATATAAAATTAGGAATACAATTTTTCATAACAAAAAATAATAATATAACAATATTAAACAATATGTTTTATTTATTAAAACTATAATAGTTTGCCACAAAACTAATTTCTGTAATTTAATTTTAAAATAAAAATTTGTTACAGTAATAAGATTAAAGTGGAATACAAATTTAGAAGTAAATAACTTTTTATTTATTTTTATTACCAAATTTAATTCGCAGGCAGTTTTATAAAAGAACTCATGTGGAACAATTTGAAAGATTAATATTGATATTGTTTGATATTATTATATTTTTACTAAAAAAAATCAGTTTTCAGAAAATTTTCAAAATTTATACTATTGTCATATTCTCTATCGATCTTGAATATAATATATTTTTCACTATTTTACACTATATGCGTATTGTAGAAATAATTTCCATGTATGTGTCATCTAAGCATTATTATATATTTAGCATAATTAAATATTTCATAATTATGATATAATTGATATATGATGATTAATATGCATATGATTAAAAAACATTTATAAAATATTTCCATGTACTGTAATTAATAAATTAAAATTTATGTGACAATTGCTTAAATTTTGTAAGAATCGTTTTTCTCATAAATATTTAAAAAGCACAGTTTTTTATCGCGCCAAATATACGCGCAGCGAGACCAATCATGTATTTATTCATGAGCCATCAAAAGTAAAATAATTATGTCATATTATATTATTAAAATATCTTCCTTAAAAGTTGTAGATTAAATATTTTGCAGAAAGATAAATAAAACAGATATAAAATAAATATAATAAATGGTGCGTTGCTGATATATCAATATTACAAAAGATTATTTCGCAAAAAATTTGTTATAATTATGATAAATGCTTTACATTGGAATAAGATCGTATTGATCTTTGATTAGAAATCGCAACGTGCAAAAATTCACTCAAATTTTTTATTTTTATTACGCATTTTTATGCAATTAAGAATAATCTTTTGAAAAGAGATGAGGTAGAATGCGCTAACAATCCGCAGGAAGCCCATCAGTGATGCTTGCAACAATTGTTCGCAAATCGAAGAAAACGGCGACATTCCGAAGCATACTGTAGTCAGAATGAAACCTTCGAAACCAACTGTAGAAAAAAATTTACCTGCCTGCAATGTATCATCATAGAATGTCAAAGAGAGCCAAAAAGCAGTTTGAAAATCATTAAAAAACATTTAAAGTAATATTTTAATAAAAATATCATATTTAAATTTATAATTTTTGTCCACTAATCAGCGCGTCCTTGAAAAGCTTATCAGCGACAACGTCAGGTATTACTAACTCCGCTGTTTGTGATACCAGTCGCATTTCCAGCGGTTTTGATAATTCCTTGACGGCAAAACCAAGCATATCTGTGTCTAGTGGCAAACATAAACTTAAAACCTAACGCTCACCGCAATAATATCAAACACTTTATACAAAAAAAATTTTTAATTTTTACAAGACAAAATTTATTTCTAATCGTTGTGGAGTAAGGAAGATGAAAATTTATTTCATTACAGATTTTAAGTCGTTTTATTGTAAAATTTTTGTAAACAAATTTAATTATTTATTATATTACTTTCTGATTATAATTTGTTTCCTCACGAATTTAAATCATTTTCTACTGCCGATTAATAATCATATTTTTTGTTAAAGTGTTTTGTTATTACTATAACTCCATCACATATATCTTTGACAAATATATTTGTCATTTTTTAGTAAAAAAAAACTTGTAACAAACGCTTCGTAAAATTTGCTCTGCACTATATCAATTATCCCTTAGTTGTGAGCTAATAAATTTTTAACGTATTTTATATTTAAAGCAAAATTGATCATAATCTCATATTCAAAATACTTAAACAAAAAAAAATGTAAACATTTCTCTCTCGAAGCATTAAGACCAATAAGTTCAACGACTGTTCACTACAAATCAAGTCGCCGAGTCTAATAGACAGAATCAAACATACGTTCTCAAAGATAAAAGTTCTGCAGTAATTATTAACAGACAGCAAAAAATTTGTAATAGAGTACTAAAATGGATCCGATAAGAATATCAGTTCTAATTGGTATGTACAGAGACACTGTTATGTCAAATGTATTACATATATATACTAAAATATATAGTAAACATTTATCTATTAATTATTAATTAAATTAAAAATTATTGTTTCAATAACAGATTAAAAGATTAGCATTTATACTTATATGGAATAAGGTATTTTAAAAGTTTTCCATTATAAGTGATTTAAAATATTTTAGTTATATATGCAATATATTTCAAAGTTGAATATTATTACATATTTTTTCTATAATTTTTAATTATTAACATCATTATAACAAAAAATAGATAATTACGTTTTCATATGTTTCATAGTTTTGTTATAATGTTATGAAAAAGAACACCTAATTCTAAATATTAAAACAAGAAGTAATAAAAATTATTTAATGCAAACTTGATACTTAATACACTTTTCAAGCTTTACTTTTATTATAATTAATTAGTATGTACGGAGAAAAGTTCGGATGAAGTTACTATTTGGAGAGAGGAGTTACAAAAGATATTTGATACTTTGCCTACACCATTGCAACAAATTGATGTATCTTACACATTATGTGAACAAAATCCAGACGAACTAAAGGTGACTATAAATGTTTTAAACATCCTGCTCTTTTAATATTGTAATTAATTTTGTTTATATAACGCAGGAACAAATAATTGCCATAGCCGATTCAAATACAGCTGATATCATTCTTATACTTGATCTAGCCTCAAAGCAATCCGTTATAACTGAAATAATTGATAAAATCGCAGATACAGAAGATACAATCGGAAAAATGTTTGCGGAAATACCAACATTTTTAAAAGCAAAAATCAAGTAAAAATTTATTATTATTATTTTCTATAAAAAAATTCTCCTAATAAAAATTCTTTGTAATAAATTTTCATAATAAAATTAAATATATCGTTATCTTAGTAAGAGTTATATTAATTATAAATTAATATATTATATATTAATATGTTCTTAGATCTCTAAAGTTTGGATGCCGAAATAATAAATTAATTTTTTTCAAGACTGCCAATAAATCAGGAATATTAAAAATTATAGGGGCAATTGCAGATACAATAGTACTTGCTGCACATTTGCTACGAACTGTGGTGCGCAACATTGTTAATCGTCCAGAAAGACCATTCGTCCATGTTAATCGTCCAGAAGTGGTAAAGTGTTTTCAACATTAGAAAAAATAAGATATTAATTTCATAGTATTGTACATGCAATTAATCTTATGCATTCAGGGAGAAGACAAGATCTTGTGCGCACAACATAGCAGGTCATTCTCTCAAATGGAAATTTCGGAACTTTCTACTTTATTTAACTTATCTGTAATGTTGTAAAATTGTAAAATAAAATATTGATTAACAAGATTTACATTTTATTTAATTTTTTTCTGTAGGTAAACGAAAATATATCTACAAACCAAGAGACATGTCAATCTACAACTTCTGTAGAAGAAGCATTGGAAATTATTGAGTCAACAGTAAATTCAGATGTTATTATCGAAATGGAAATAGAAATGATACACATAAGAGACGCCTTTGGTAGAATATTGTGTCATGCAATAAATTGCTGTAGTAATGTACCACCGTTTTTAACTGCCACTAAACGGGGACATGCGGTAATAGCAAATCAAGAAATAAATGAAACAGAAATGAAGACGAATAAGGTAAGCTGTAATACTAATGCTTATGTGCAACTAGCTAGTAATGTAAAACAAAACTTTTTCAGTCAAACAAATTTAGTTCGTTTATACTTGACTCTGACACGAGTGCATTAGTAAATAAGGGAGAATGTCTTCCTTTAGGTACGTAATTAATTCTTGCCAATTATATTAATTTATAATTACAAAATAACTATTGCTGTTCCGTTTTTAAATGTAGGAACAACTGCTGTTATACCAGCACAAAATGTAATAAGTTTTTATGAAGCGGAGAAGCTAATACATACAACGTCACATACAGTAAAATATTTGGAAAATACTAGGTAAAAAAATTAATACTTTTTTATTATATATTTCTCAACATAGACTATTTATTACGAGAACAATTCAATTTATTCTTTCGTTTATTTCATGTAAAGATCACCAGGTAGCGATATCAAAATAGGCGATGAAATTATAGAAGAATGTACGCATATTGGTTTAACGGAAATAAATCTTCTGACAGCGTGTGGTTGCAATAAAATAACAGTTTTTAAAAAATTGTCCATTGGTGTATTGACTATTGGAAATAAGTTACAGGAATCTGGACCATCTTTGCAATCAGAACATTCATATGATATTAATCGAGCAATTCTAATCTCACTATTAAAAGAAAATTGTTTTAAATTTTATTGTTTCGATTTTGGAATTACAAGTAAAAAGTAAGTGCAACAAAATTTATTGTAATTTTTCATACACACTCTACTACAATGATACAAATATTTTAGTAAATATTTTAGTTTAAATTTAATTTTTATGTTTTTGTTGCTATTCATTGTTTGAATAATATTCTGATTATTTCATAAATGCCTAATCAACTTTGTTTATTACTGCTCACAGTACGGAGCTTATAACACGAAAGATCACAAAAGCTTTAGAAAATGTAGATTTACTTGTGACAACTGGCTGTTCCAGTGATAAAGACTGTTTGAAGACGATTTTAAAGAACCACTTTGAAGCCACGTTTTATTTTGGTATTTTTTCCATCTTATTAATGTTTTGTTTTTCTTTTCTGTTACCATATCAATGCTGAAACAAATATATATTATTTGGTGTATTATACGTATTTTTGTAGAAAATGTTAATATGAAACCAGGAAAATCAACGGCATTTGCATCGTGCTACTTCAAAGACAAAGCCAAGTTTATCTTATGCTTGCCAGGAAATCCAGCATCTGTTCTCCTGACTGCATATTTATTTCTTTGGCCTCTTGTTAACTTGCTGCATATTAACGTCAGCAAAAAATATCCTAGAATGACAGTTAAAGTAAATTTTTTTTTATAATATATTACAAAATTAAAAAAAATGCGAAATACGCATGTATGCTACAATGTCGTTGTAACATTGCAGTTGGAACAAAAATTACTTTTGCATCCTCGTCCAAGATACGTATGGGCGACATTATCATGGCGCGAGAAAGGAATAAAACCAACAGTAAAAGTCACATGCAAAGAAGAAAATTCTATCAGTAACAAGCTATCTGACATTGATGATGCTAATGCACTCTTAGTGCTGCCGGCGAAAACATCAGAGAGAAGTATATTGCAAGCTGCATCGTTTGTAGAAGCAATACTCATTAAATTTCCTATTTCCTGAAAAAAATGACAAACTGATTAGCATCAGCAAAAGTTGAAATATCAATGCGTATAATTTAACACTAATTATATATTTTTTATTAGTTCATTTTTTATTATTATTGTTTAAAAATAGTTAAAAAAGTAGTTTACAGGACAAATTGTATCATGATTAGTGAGAAAAGTTTTTATTTTATATAAAATTAGGAATACAATTTTTCATAACAAAAAATAATAATATAACAATATTAAACAATATGTTTTATTTATTAAAACTATAATAGTTTGCCACAAAACTAATTTCTGTAATTTAATTTTAAAATAAAAATTTGTTACAGTAATAAGATTAAAGTGGAATACAAATTTAGAAGTAAATAACTTTTTATTTATTTTTATTTCTAAATTTAATTCGCTGGCAGTTTTTTAAAAGAGTTTATGTGGAACAATTTGAAAGATTAATATTGATATTGTTTAATATTATTATATTTTTACTAAGAAAAATCAGTTTCCAGAAAATTTTCAAAATTTATACTTTTGTCATATTCTCTATCGATCTTGAATATAATATATTTTTCACTATTTTACACTATATGCGTATTGTAGAAATAATTTCCATTTATGTGTCATCTAGACATTGTTATATATTTAGCATAATTAAATATTTTATTATTATGATATAATTGATATATGATGATTATTATGCATATGATTAAAAAACATTTACAAAATATTTTCATGTACTGTAATTAATAAATTAAAATTTATGTGACAATTGCTTAAATTTTGTAAGAATTGTATTTTTCATAAATATTCAAAAAGCACAGTTTTTTATCGCGCCAAATATACGCGCAGCGAGACCAATCATGTATTTATTCATGACCCATCAAAAGTAAAATAACTATGTCATATCATATTATTAAATTATTTTTCTTAAAAGTCGTAGATTAAATATTTTGCAGAAAGATAAATAAAACAGATATAAAATAGATATAATAAATGGTGCGTTGCTGATATATCAATATTACAAAAGATTATTTAGCGAAAAATTTGTTATAATTATGATAAATGCTTTACATTGGAATAAGATCGTATTGATCATTGATTGAAAATCGCAACGTGCGAAAATTTACTCGGATTTTTTATTTTTATTACGCATTTTCATGCAATTAAGAATAATCTTTTGAAAAGAGATGAGGTAGAATGTGCTAACAAACCGCAGAAAGCCCATCAGTGATGCTTGCAACAATTGTTCGCAAATCGAAGAAAACGGCGACATTCCGGAGCATACTGTAGTCAGAATGAAACCTTCGAAACCAACTGTAGAAAAAAATTTACCTGCCTGCAATGTATCATCATAGAATGTCAAAGAGAGCCAAAAAGCAGTTTGAAAATCATTAAAAAACATTTAAAGTAATATTTTAATAAAAATATCATATTTAAATTTATAATTTTTGTCCACTAATCAGCACGTCCTTGAAAAGCTTGTCAGCGACAACGTCAGGTGTTACTAACTCCGCTGTTTGTGATATCAGTCGCATTTCCAGCGGTTTTGATAATTCCTTGACGGCAAAACCAAGCACATCTGTGTCTAGTGGCAAACATAAACTTAAAACCTAACGCTCACCGCAATAATATCAAACACTTTATACAAAAAAAAATTTTAAATCTTTTACAAGACAAAATTTATTTCTAATCGTTGTGGAGTAAGGAAGATGAAAATTTATTTCATTACAGATTTTAAGTCGTTTTATTGTAAAATTTTTGTAAACAAATTTAATTATTTATTATATTACTCTCTGATTATAATTTGTTTCCTCGCGAATTTAAATCATTTTCTACTGCCGATTAATAATCATATTTTTTGTTGAAGTGATTTGTTATTACTATAACTCCATCACATATATCTTTGACAAAATATATTTGTCATTTTTTAGTGAAAAAACTTGTAACAAACGCTTTGTAAAATTTGCTCTGCACTATATCTATTATCCCTTAGTTGTGAGCTAATAAATTTTTAACGTATTTTATATTTAAAGCAAAATTGATCATAATCTCATATTCAAAACATTTAAACAAAAAAAAATGTAAACATTTCTCTCTCGAAGCATTAAGACTAATAAGTTCAACGACTGTTCACTACAAATCAAGTCGCCGAGTCTAATAGACAGAATCAAACATACGTTCTCAAAGATAAAAGTTCTGCAGTAATTATTAACAGATAGCAAAAGATTTGTAATAGAGTACTAAAATGGATCCGATAAGAATATCAGTTCTAATTGGTATGTACAGAGACACTGTTATGTCAAATGTATTACATATATGTACTAAAATATATAGTAAACATTCATCTATTAATTATTAATTAAATTAAAAATTATTGTTTCAATAACAGATTAAAAGATTAGCATTTATACTTATATGGAATAAGATATTTTAAAAGTTTTCCATTATAAGTGGTTTAAAATATTTTAGTTATATATGCAATATATTTCAAAGTTGAATATTATTACATATTTTTTCTATAATTTTTAATTATTAATATTATTATAACAAAAAATAGATAATTACGTTTTCATATGTTCCATAGTTTTGTTATAATGTTATGAAAAAGAACACCTAATTCTAAATATTAAAACAAGAAGTAATAAAAATTATTTAATGCAATCTTGATACTTAATATACTTTTCAAGCTTTACTTTTATTATAATTAATTAGTATGTTGGGAGAAAAGTTCGGATGAAGTTACTATTTGGAGAGAGGAGTTACAAAAGATATTTGATACTTTGCCTACACCATTGCAACAAATTGATGTATCTGACACATTATGTGAACAAAATCCAGATGAACTAGAGGTGACTATAAATGTTTTAAACATCCTGCTCTTTTAATATTGTAATTAATTTTGTTTATATAACGCAGGAACAAATAATTGCCATAGCCGATTCAAATACAGCTGATATCATTCTTATACTTGATCTAGCCTCAAAGCAATCCGTTATAACTGAAATAATTGATAAGATCGCAGATAGAGAAGATACAATCGGAAAAGTGTTTGCGGAAATACCAACATTTCTAAAAGCAAAAATCAAGTAAAAATTTATTATTATTATTTTCTATAAAAAAGTTCTCGTAATAAAAATTCTTTGTAATTGATTTTCATAATAAGATTAAATATATCGTTATCTTAGTAAGAGTTATATTAATTATAAATTAATATATTATATATTAATATGTTCTTAGATCTCTAAAGTTTGGATGTCGAAATAATAAATTAATTTTTCTCAAGACTGCCAAGAAATCTGGAATATTTAAAATTATAGGGGCAATTGCAGATACAATAGTACTTGCCGCACATTTGCTACGAACTGTGGTGCGCAACATTGTTACTCGTCCAGAAAGGCCATTCGTCCATGTTCATCGTCCAGAAGTGGTAAAGTGTTTTTAACATTAGAAAAAATAAGATATTAATTTCATATTATTGTACATGCAATTAATCTTATGCATTCAGGGAGAAGACAAGATCTTGTGCACACAACATAGCAGGTCATCCTCTGAAATAGAAATTTCGGAACTTTCTACTTCATTTAACTCATCTGTAATGTTGTAAAATTGTAAAATGAAATAATGATTTAACAAGATTATATGTAATTAAATTTTTTTAGCAGACAGACAAAAATATATCTACAAACCAAAAGACATGTCAGTCCAAAGTTTCTATAAAAGAAGCATTGGAAGAAATTAATTACTCGGTATCTGAAGTCTACTCACTAGAAGACGAAAATATATCTACAAACGAAAATACTTGTGAGTCCGAAGTTTCTGTAAATGAAGCATTGGATTGTATTAATTGTTTGGTATCTGAAGGTGTCATCATACCAGAAGACAACTCTGTATTCATAAAAGACGCCTTTGGCAGTATACTTTCGGATACAATAGATTGCAAGAGTAATGTGCCACCGTTTTTAGTTTCCACTAAACAGGGATATGCGATAAATGCGGGGAAGGATGTAACTGAAATAAAAATGGAGACTGATGAGGTAAGCTGCAATACTAATGCTTATGTGTTAGAAGTATAAAACAAAACTTTTTCAGTCCAGCAAAATTGGTTTGTTTGTACTTGACCCTGAGACGACTGCATTTGTAGAGAAGGGAGCATGTATTCCCTTTGGTACGTAATTAACATTTACCAATTATATTAATTTGCTTATAATGACGAATTTGTTATTACTTCTGTTTTCAAATGCAGGAGCAAATACGGTTATACCAATAGAGCATGTAAATCATTTTGGTGATGCGGAAATGCCAATAATAACAACGTCACATACAGTAAAATATGGGGAAAATACTAAGTAAAAAACCTAATACTTTTCTATTGTATATTTTTCAACATAAATTATTTATTACTGGAACATTTTTATTTATTCTTTCGTTTATTTCATGTAAAGATCACCAGGTAGCGATATAAAAGAAAACGATAAAATTATAAAAGGATGTACACGTATCGGTCCGGCGGAAATAAATCTTCTGTCAGCGTGTGGTCACAGCGATGTAAAAGTTTCAGAAAAACTGTCCATTGGTGTATTGACCATTGGAAATAACTTACAGGATCCTGGACAATCTTTACATCCAGAAGCATCATATGATAACAATCGAGCAATACTAATCTCACTATTAAAAGAAAATTGTTTTAACCTATTTAATTGTTCGAACTTCGGAATTATAAGTAAAAAGTAAGTGCGACAAAATTTATTGTAATTTTTCATACACACTCTACTACAATGATACAATAAATATTTTAGTTTAAATTTAATTTTTATGTTTTTGTTGCTATTCACTGTTTGAATAATATACTGATTATTTCATAAATGCCTAATCAACTTTGTTTATTGCTGCTCACAGTACGGAGCTTATAACACGAAAAATCACAAACGCTCTAGAAGATGTAGATTTACTTGTGACAACTGGCTGTTCCAGTGATAAAGACTGTTTGAAGACTATTTTAAAGGACCACTTTGAAGCCGCGTTTAATTTTGGTATTTTCTCGCTCTTATTAATGTTTCGCTTTTCTTTTCTGTTACCATATCAATGCTGAAGAAAATATATATTATTTGGTGTATTATACTTATTTTTGTAGAAAATGTTAATATGAAACCAGGGAAGTCAACGGCACTTGCATCGTGCAACTTCAAAAACAAGGGCAAGATTATCTTATGCTTGCCAAAAAATCCAGCATCTGTTTTCCTGACTGCATATTTATTCCTTCTTCCTCTTGTTGACCAAATATTCTTTCTCAACAAAAAGTACCCTGAAATGGTGGTTAAAGTAAGATTTTTTTTATAATATATTACAAAATTTAAAAAAATGAGAAATACGCATGTATGCTATAATGTTGTTGTAACATTGCAGTTGGAACAAAAATTACTTTTGCATCGTCGTCCAAGATACGTATGGGCGACTTTATCATGGCGCGAGAAAGGAATAAAACCAACAGTAAAAGTTACATGCAAAGAAGAAAATTCTATCAGTAACAAGCTATCTGACATTGACGGTGCTAATGCACTCTTAGTATTACCAGCGAAAACACCAGAAAAAAGTACGCTCGAGGCTTCATCGTTTGTAAAAGCAATACTCATCAAAATGCCTAATTTAGTTTCTTAAGAAAAACGACGAACTGGTTAGCATCACCAAAGATTGAAATATTATGCATATAAATTAACATTAATTCTATACTTTATATCATTTTACATTTTATCATTGGCTGCACCAGCAAAAATCTCATATAATAAAACGCTGAAAAGATAAATAACGTAAACCGTTTATTTTCGAAACATTTTTATTAATTATTTACTTTATTAATTATCTGACAAATGCTTTAATTTTGTAATCATTATTTCTTTTATAATTAATTATTATTACATTTGAGTTTTACTATAAGTTTGCACAACACGTTCACATTCAACAGATATAAATTTATTTGCGCCCTGATATTTTTTCTCTTTTTTCCTTTCTTTTCAATAATTCCTATCAGTACATAATGATTCTCCATATGTGAGAACAATGTACTCAACTTTTCGTACACTTTATTTCGATCTGAGATCGGTGTACAATTTAACTGTCTCATGTAAACTAATAAATTAATTTCTTTAAGAAAAATTAAAAATTTTGCACTAGCATTGTAAATGCAATTAATCTTATGCATTCAGGGAGAAGACAAAATCTTGTGCACACAACATAGCAGGTCACCTTCTCAAATGAAAATTTTGGAACTTTCTACTTCATTTAACTCATCTGTAATGTTGTAAAATTGTAAAATAAAATAATGATTTAACAAGATTTTACATTTTATTAATTTTTTTCTGTAGGCAAACAAAAATATATCTACAAACCAAGAGACATATCAATCCACAACTTCTGTAGAAGAAGCATTGGCAATAATTAATTACTTGGTATCTGAGGATGTCATTTCACTAGAAGAAGAATGTGTACACATAAGAGACGCCTTTGGCAGAATACTCGCGGTTCTAATAACGGTGCTACAATAATGTGCCACCGTTTTTAGCTGCCACTAAACAAGGATATGCGATAAAAGCGCGGAAGGAAGTAACTGAAACAGAAATAGAGACGGATGAGATAAGCTGCAATACTAAAGCTTATGTGTTAAAAGTATAAAACAAAACTTTTTCAGTCCAACGAAATTAGTTCGTTTATACTTGACTCTGAGACGAATGCATGGGTAGAGAAGGGAGCATGTGTTCCTTTAGGTACGTAATTAACACCATGCCAATTATATTAATTTGCTTATAATGACAAATTTATTATTGCTTCTGTTTTCAAATGCAGGAGGAAATGCGATTTTACCAACAAAGAATGTAATACATTCTGAGATGCAGAGATGCTAAAAAAACGTTACATAAAGTAAAATATGGAGAAAATATTAGGTAAAAAACCTAATACTTTTCTATTGTATATTTTTCAACATAGACTATTTATTACTGGAACATTTCAATTTAATTTTTTGTTTTTTTTTATCTGTAAAGATTACCAGGTAGCGATATCAGAGTAGGTGTTTATATTATAAAAGCATGTACACGTATCGATCCAGCGGAAATACATCTTCTGTCAGTGTGTGGTCACAGCAATGTAACAGTTTTAAAAAATCTGTCCATTGTTGTATTGACCATTGCAAATAACTTACAGGAACTTGAAAAATCTTTAAATTCAGGACAATCATATGATAACAATCGAGTAATTCTAATCTCACTATTAAAAGAAAATTGTTCTAACCTTTGTAATTGTTCGGACTTGGGAATTGTAAGTAAAAAATAAGTGCGACAAAATTTATTGTAATTCTTCATACACACTCTACTACAATCATACAGTAAATATTTTAGTTTAAATGTGGTTTTTATATTTCTTTATATGTAATGTTTGAATAATTAATATTCCAATTATATCATATATGTCTAATACCTAATATTTTTTCTGACAGTACGGAGCTTATAACACGAGAGATCACAGAAGCTCTAAGAAAAGTAGATTTACTTGTGACAACTGACTGTTTCAGTGATAAAGACTGTTTGAAGACTATTTTAAAGAACCGCATTAAAGCCACATTGCACTTCGGTATTTTCTTCCTGTTATTAATGTTTTTCTTTTTTTTCTCTTACAATATCAATGCTAAAGAAAATATATATTATTTGGTGTATTATACGTATGTTTGTAGAAAATGTTAATATAAAACCAGGAAAGTCAACGGCATTTGCTACTTCGAAGACAAGCGCAAGATTATCTTATGTTTGCCAGGAAATCCAGAATCTGCTTTCCTGACTGCATATTTATTCCTTCTTCCTCTTGTTAACCAAATACACTTCCTCAACAAAGGGTACTCTAAAATGGCGGTTAAAATAAGATTTTTTTATAATATATCACAAAATTTAAAAAAATGCGAAATACGCATGTATGCTATAATGTCGTTGTAACATTGCAGTTGGAACAAAAATTACTTTTGCATTCTCGTCCAAGATACGTATGGGCGACTTTATCATGGCGCGAGAAAAGAATAAAACCAACAGTAAAAGTTACATGCAAAAAAGAAAATTCTATCAGTAACAAGCTATCTGACATTGATGGTGCTAATGCACTTTTAGTTCTACCGGCAAAAACATCAAAGAGAAGTATATTGCAGGCTGCATCGTTTGTAGAAGCAGTACTCATTAAATTTCCTATTTCCTGAAAAAAAATGACGAACTGATTAACATCAGCAAAGGTTGAAATATCAATGCGTATAATTTAACATTAATTATATATTTTTTATTATTTCACTTTTTATTATTAATATTTAAAGGTAGTTAAAAAAGTAGTTTACAGGACAAAGTGTATCATGATTAATGAGAAATATTTTTATTTTATATAAAATTGGAAATACAATTTTTCATACAATTTTTCATACAATTTTTCAACGAAAAATGATAATATAACAATATTAAACAATGTGTTTTATTAAAACTTTAATAGTTTGCCGCAAAACTAATTTCTGTAATTTAATTTTAAAATAAAAATTTGTTTCAGTAATAAGATTAAAGTGGAATATAAATTTAGAAATAAATAACTTTTTATTTATTTTTATTTCCAAACTTAATTCGCAGGCAGTTTTTTAAAAGATTTCGTGTGGAACAAGTTGAAAGATTAATATTGATATTGTTTAATATTATTATATTTTTACTAAGAAAAATACGTTTCCAGAAAATTTTCAAAAGTTATACTTTTGTCATATTCTCTATCAATTTTGAGTATAATATATTTTTCACTATTTTACACTATATGCGTATTGTAGAAATAATTTCCATTTATATGTCATCCAAGCATTATTATATATTTAATATAATTAAATATTTTATAATTATGATATAATTGATACATGATGATTAATACGCATATGATTAAAAAACATTTACAAAATATTTTCATGTACTGTAATTAATAAATTAAAATTTATGTGACAATTGCTTAAGTTTTGTAATAATTGTTTTTCTTATAAATATTCTCAAAGTAGTTTTTTCTTGCACCAAATATACGCGCAGCAAGACCGATCATGTATTTATTCATAAGCCATCAAAAGTAAAATAAGCGATAGTTATGTCATATTATATTATTAAAATATCTTTCTTAAAAGTCGTAGATTAAATATTTTGCAGAAAGATAAATAAAACAGAAATAAAGTAGATATAATAAATGGTGCCATGCTGATATATGAATATTAAAAAGGATTATTTAGCGAAAAATTTATTATAATTATGATAAATGCTTTACATTGGAATAAGATCGTATTGATCTTTAATTAGAAATCACAACGTACGAAAATTCACTCAGATTTTTTATTTTCATTACGCATTTTCATGCAATTAAGAATAATCTTTTGAAAAGAGATGAGGTAGAATGCGCTAACAATTCGCAGGAAGCCCATCAGTGATGCTTGCAACAATAGTTCGCAAATCGAAGAAAACGGCGACATTCCGGAGCATACTGTAGTCAGAATGAAACCTTCGAAACCAACTGTAGAAAAAAATTTACCTGCCTGCAATGTATCATCATAGAATGTCAAAGAGAGCCAAAAAGCAGTTTGAAAATCGTTTAAAAACGTTTAAAGTAATATTTAAATAAAAATATCATATTTAAATTTATAATTTTTCTCCACTAACCAGCGCATCCTTGAAAAGCTTGTCAGCGACAACGTCAGGTGTTACTAACTTTGCTGCTTGTGATATCAGTCGCGTTTCCAGCGGTTTTGATAATTCCTCGGCGGCAAAACCAGGTGTATCTGTGTCCGGTGGCAAACAGAGAGTTACAGAAACATTGTATGGCTGTAGTTCCATTGCTATGCTCTCTGCCAAACCGCGGAGTGCAAATTTGGTGCTACAATAAGCAGAGTAACCAAAGATACCTAGGAATATAATTTTATTTTTAATTTCTAAATTATAAATCACAATAAATATAAACAATAAAGACAGATTTCTAAATAAATACCCAACATTGCAGCTTGAGATGATGTAAGAACAATCATTCCTTCTCTGGAAGCTTTCATTCTCTGCGCTACAGCTTTGATGCAGTAATATGCACCAAGAAAATTTATATTAATCATTTTATTTAGACTGTCTAAGGTGGTGTCTTCTATTTTACCACAGATTGCGGTACCAGCACAATTTACAAGCATGTAAATTGGTCCCATAGTTCTCTCAAGATCGGCCACTGCTTTTTCAACATTTTCATAATTTGCTCCAATATCTAAGGATAGATATTCCACTCTTTGCACATCTTTGTTTTCACAAGCGTGCAATATTTCATTTTTAGTCGCCTCTAATCTTTGAATATCTCTTGCAATTATCGTAACATTTGCTCCATGTTTTGCAGCAATAATTGCTACATGTTTTCCGATACCACTGGAACCACCAGTTATCTAGAAAAAAATTACGCAAGGTAAATAGTATATAAAAAGGTTAATTGTATATCAGATATACTATGTCTGATTAATTCTTCGCATATTTTTGCATAATATTTATTTTTACAGCATAGTGTTTCTTTGAGGTTAGAAAATACTCACGACTACATGTTTATTCTTGACATTTTTTAATTGTGCATTCCAGAATAATTGTTTTATTAATAAAAAGACTATTATTAAAACAAATGCGACAAGCGCTACGCCAAGCCAAACGCCCATAATTCACTACTTCGTTCTTTTTTACAGATCAAACGATTTGTTGATCAGCTGATTTGACATGCAGTGGCGCACTTTTTTTCTTCGAAAGCAGTAGAACTAGTATTAAGGTAAATGAAACCTTTTATCGAACTACTCCAATTTACCGACCAATTTACTATTTACGTTAAAAAATAATAGCCGTTAACAGTACGATCGTCAAAACAATTGATTTCGTTGCATAAAACTTCATGCAATATATTCTCAATTGTTTTGACGATTGTACTGTTAACGGCTATTACTTTTTAGCGTAAATAGTAAATTGGTCGGTAATTAGAGCAATTCGGTAAAAGGTACACTTACCTTATATCGAACTTTTATGTAGTGGCAGAATCGACTTATGATATTATCGCGAATGTATTTATTTACAATCGTTAAGTCAGCGTTCTACCTTTCTTAATAGAAATTTATCTACAAATACCAATAATGGCTTTATCAAGTAACAATTTAATATAAATTGATAATTTATTGAATTTTGCTTCCATATAATTTATTTTTTCAATGTTTGCATAATTTTTTATTACTTTTTTGAGATAAAAAAAAAGTCTTTTTTTATCATATTTTTTCGTTGCTCACATTTATTAATCATTATAAGGTAACTACGTAAGAATTCGAGTTCGAGATTAATTTTATCCGTGAATATATTAATATTAAAACTGATTATCCGTTATTAATAGTTTCAACGTACAAGCTAAATTCTTGTTTTCAATAAAAAAAATTCTCGAAAAGTATCAGTTGCATTTCTCTGAAAAAATTGCTAAATCTTTGTTTATTTCTACAATTTTTCTGTCGTGATAACTTGCTGTTATTTATTATAATGCTTACACAATCCTGTGCGAGAAAAGATATCCAATACATATTATACATATTGATTCTACGTTTCTAATGCTTCTAATTCAGATCGTATATAAAGAGATAACAAAGCATAATATCGCAAAATTATTTTTGCAAAATATCTACTTTTAATTTTCTACAATACATTCTACAATAAAAATTGAAACACTAGTATTTGAAACAGAATATCATATCGTAAAGATTTGCATTTAAAAAATTATTTAAAATTTCACAGTTAAATATATATATATATATTAAATATAAAATTAAATCAAATTCAGTATTATTTTGGTAAGATTAACAAAAAGCCTTACGAAAAAGCAGGTCCAGAAAAAATTAATTCCATATGTAATATATGTATATTTATGCATGAATGCACGTATCCACGAGGTCCAATCATCAATGCAGCAGAATCCATTACGCCGCTAAAGCCGCAACGTGACCTCAACGATTTTAGTTTATAATCTATTGCGGGTTAATAACCCGTTGCAACATTGATACAGCCCGACGATCGTGTTACAACGGTCGATGTGGCCCAAAAATTGCTATTTTATAATGTATCGTGAAAATTGCATTCCGATTATTTATGAAATACAATTTTATTACAGCGACAGGGACGACCGGTGAGAGTACGCAAGTCCGACGCGACACCGCGATGACGTCGCGCGTAGCAAAAATTTCCGGCATACGCGAACGCATGCGTCGAAAAGTTGCAGGGTGAGCCCCCTGGACTACGTGCATTCACCCCCGTGTTACCGTAGTGCAAAACGCCACCTCCTCCGCCGCGTCCCTGCCGTTATCCTTCGCGCAAAAGGTCACGTACCACCACCCTGTCGATCGTTCACCTCGTCCTGGGACTCGCTCCTGGTAGCCAGGTTAAAGCGGAAGGTACGAAGGATACGTTCACGCACCCGCGAGCTCCCTCGGATAGACACAAATTTGGCGGATCGCTCGCGCAAACATGCCGCGTTACTGCGTCCAATATCGGGAATATCGTGCCAGACGAGATACAAGCCAAGTAATATCGCGAAATGTTTTGACAATTAGTCACTCAAATAGTATGATAATCGACAAAAATTCCATAAGAATTGAATCGGCTCGCAGCACGCTAGTAGTGCAGCAATAAACTATAGGTGGACACGATACAGGTCGAGTAACATCACTTAACGCTATTAGCGGCTCGAGAGCACTCTCGTAATTGTAAAGATCGTATCGGGTTGTATCATTTAGGGCGCAATTGCGACGTGTTGTTATATAGTGTGTTGCGCCAAACAAAAAGTAACGTCCAAATTTCAACAGTTCGCTCTGCGAGCGGGACGAGTCGCAGGAAGGGTAATTCCAGCGGAGGGTAATCTCAGATAAGCGGAAGATCTACGATCGTCGGAGTGCGAAAGGCTCGATCGCGGGCTCGGGCCCTCCTTCGTCGAGGAGGCGTCCCATTAAATCACTCGGAAGAGTCAACGGTGGAGGGGAAATTGCGGCGAGAGCGTCACATCTCGGCCGGTCGGCGGTCCCGTCGCGGGGGCTGCAAGAGCTTGCAGCAGTCCGGAGCCGCGATTTTGGACACAGAGAGAGGAGAGCGAGCGTACATTGCACCCAACAGAAGGGAGTGTCCCGAGCCGGTGTCCCTTGCCTCCCCCGCGCACCCGACCCGGCCCAACCCTCGGCCAGTACCCCGCCCGCCCGTGATAGCCTAGCTACGACCCTGGGTTCCGTGTCTCCCGGGCTGCACCGGGGGGTGAACGCCCTCGCCTGACCCAGACTCGGAATCGATCTCCATTCGTTGCACGGTGTTGCCTAACCCCCCTCGACGTCCCACCGACCCCCGTTCGCGCGCACGCCACCGCCA